AAACATGTTTAAAACTTGCATTCTTCATCTGATCCTTGAGCATATTCTGTTATAAGGAGAACAGGAAAAACAGTGGAAAGAAAGAGGTGTCTGTGTATTTTACTGCTGAATGGTAGCAAGGGATTAACTTTGGAACACTTCATTTCCTCACATTGTGCTTTGAGACATGGGTTTTATTTTTTAGAAACTGCGTATTTTTACACTCCTCCAAACAGCGCGTGAGGCAAGTTTAGTAAGAAGACATTCTCTTGCATTAGATAACAATGTTTTCTTATTTACTGAAGAAACAGTTTTCCTGTTATTTCCAACAAAACACTGAGTATAATTTTACAGCTGAGTATTACAAGGCAGCACGTTGCTTATCCCATGAAATCCCACAGATCTTATTAGTCCTGTTTCTGTGAATTGACAGGAATTGCTATTTAAAATTCTTTCCTGTCTGGTAAGGAAAACAATTCTTCATTGAAATTAGCTCTGTGCTTCTTTGCAAGCAATAGAGAGAGGTGGTGTCTACAGCGTGTTTTCCCTGTGTACCCAGATGACAGAGATCTCTGGGTACAGAAGCAGCACTCTGATTTTAAGCTGTGCCATTTATTTCAAGAAGCAAAATTTTGGGAGCCTGATGATCCTTGATTCAGGCCCCAAGTTGCATGGCTATCTCAGCAACCTTTTGTGCTGTTGTCATTTAAGTCAGTAGGAACTCTGATCTTCAAAGACCTCTTTCATAAAAGGAGGTTCCTGCCTTAATATGAGAAAATAGAAAGGCAACACTTAACGGCTGTGGCTGTCGTTGGCACACACCGTTGGCAGCCACCTCATCAACACAGTACAGTTAACAGCTGTCTCTGCCCTGACAGTTGCATCATTGTTGATGCTGTTGATGAACAGGGAGTATATGTCAGCTTGTGCTTCAGAAATAGAAGGTGAAAAATTAATCAATGGTTATTGCAAGGGATGAAATTTATAGAATTAATTGTCCACTTCAGAAGTTTGAGATTTTTTCATCATATTCGCATATGATAATTTTTTTCTTCGTTTTAAGTATTCATTCTTAAAATCTGTTCTCCCTCATCATCCACTTCCAAATTCCATGAAGTTTGTGAAATACAGCACTGAACTGCTATCTAGTCATCTTTTCATGTCCTGGGCTCCTTAAAAATGACATCTTCTGATGTTTTCCCTGCCCCTGGCTTAAAACAAAGATAGAGCGTGGCAGATACTAGGATCAGGTTTTACTTCTTCGATACCTGGATTATATGGTACAACAAGCATATCCTGTAGTTTCCATGTTCTGTTTCTACAAAATGTGTGGCTGCTGGTTCCTGGCCTGCTCGCTCCAGTCGTGGAGGTGAAATAAAGCAGAGAAATGTAGGAATGCATTTTGTGGTTTTCCAAGAGACCTCACCAAAGCACAGTAATCCTTTCAAAACCTTTGTTTCTCCTGCCCATAGAAAATATAGCCTGTAGTTTAGATATGACTTGTCCACTTGCAAAAGAACTTGTGGAGCAGTTGAACACAAGACCAAAGAGAAAGATCGTCTTCGGAGCGGCGCGTGTGTGTCAGAAACCGCAGAGAGAATTGCCTTACGGATCTATGTTATATCTTTAAAATGATAGCAATGGTATTTTCCTGTGGATGGTTGATCTAGGTATCTAAAACCATCTTAAGGGCTTTAGTAGCTATTTACCTAATAACTGGAGTACTAAAGCAAGCATATACGTTATAGTGATTTATTTTTTGTAAGTTTTTTTTTTCTACAGATGTATAGTATCATGTGGTACCTAGGTTAAAAAGGCATTGAACAATTATCACATTGTGTTTCATTTGTACACTTTTTTTCAAATTTAAAAATGTTATAATAATGGCTGAATATGAAGTTAGAGCTAAGCTTGGGATAATGCTATATGAGTGTGCATGTGTGTATAAGAACAGCATTCGTTACTACTTGAATTGCAAGGATTCTGTGTCCACATGCATTAGGAAATAAGTAGAGCAATTGCTAATAAAAGAAGGAAGAAATAACAGAGCAAAATCAGGAAAAATATTATCAGCTGCCATCACTCGATATCTTACACCAGTTATACAGCTTTTTGCTGAAAGGGATAGTAAGAGTTTAAAAGCGAGAAGTTTAGAAATTACCACACCAGAGGAGACCAGTTAGTTCCAGGTGCTGCCACTAACAGTGTACTAAAGGTGAAAGGGAAGGTGCAAGTTAGTTCATAGAGTTTCTCAAGGGAAACTTTCTGCTGGCCCTGATCACTCCATGTATTTCCTGAAACATATGGACAGAATGCTTATAATTCACATAGCTGCAGGTGCTGTTCTTACTTGTATTAGAATAAAATCCTAGAAATGAGTAAGGAGGTTATGGCTTTTCATGTGTCTGCTTGAATGGAGTGTATGATTATGCAGCCTATGTACCCAAAGAAAATAAACAACAGTAAGCATAATATGTAGCCCCTATCCCCCAAATTAATAGTTAAGATAGAGCAAATAAGATAAAATAAGAGCTCTCCTGATCATCTATTTGGAAACTTATACTTCAGAGTCTCTGAATCTTCTAGTTTGGCTGGAACCTCTGAAATTTGGAAGGGCATCCTTGTTGCTCTTACAGAAAAAAATGACCTTCTGAAAGGGGACTGTCTCTAAAAGCTAGGCATTAAGAATTGGAATGCTTAATTGAACTGCACGTGGTTTCCAGCCATTGCCATTCATGTTTTAACTTTTTCCTTCTCTCCCTCCCCCACCCTATAGTTCATGACAAAAAACCCAAATAAGCGACTTGGCTGTGTGGCATCGCAAAATGGGGAAGACGCGATTAAGCAGCATCCGTTTTTCAAGGAAATTGACTGGGTTCTTCTAGAACAAAGGAAAATCAAGCCACCCTTCAAACCTCGGATTGTAAGTAGCAGTTTGCATAACATTCAGAGGAAACTTGGTTTGGCAATTCTAGTTGTTGGCTTTTCTGAGACATGAGATTACTTGATGCAACAATTGGGGGTTGAAATAGTGACATACAAACCATGCTGAAATGATTGCTGTGTCATTCTTTCTGTGAAGGTAAGTGTCAAAAATAGATTTAATGCGCAGAAAGATGTTCATGTTCAGTCACATAAGCCATGAGAGGGTTTGAGGCCCTGTTTTAATTATTTTCCTGTGTTCTGTAAGATACCTTGATCGGAAG